GGATGGAGCCGGTCTGGAGGCGCGAGGAACGGATGGATCGAAAGAAGGAACGCCGAAAGAGCTTTGCATAAACAGCGCTTCCGCGAAGTTCATCGACTGTTTACCGAGGGGCAGAAAGGTTGTTGAAACGTATCTCCCTCCTCCCGCTGGGGATCGAGAGGCTGCTATGCATCCATAGAGTCCTCCGGATGTAACATGCGCCGGGGTGAAATACGAGGATGACTCGCCTAGAAAAACTGACGGGGAATATGCCAGTGTTTAGTCTGTAATCATTGAGGGCGTAATTATCGCTTGTTCGTGCGTATGTAAGATGTTAAATGTAGATTTTATTTATATGTACGTTGATTGAAGCCTGAAAATACTTTCGAAACGACCGCATATTGAAATGTGATCGTCAGCTCGACATATTGTTCCTTTTTCGAACGATACAACTATCTGAACGATCGTGTACAACGAAGCGTCTATTTATATTTTGCAAAAAGTGCATCGGTGAGAGATAAAACGTACGTAAACGCGGGAGATTTATCTTGAATGAATTGAACTCTCGATTCGGAGAACGACGCATTCGAGCTTAAACTTGTAGTGCTCGTCCTCTTCATAGACAGTGTACGACGATCATCGTGTAAAGTTTCACGCGACTTTATGAATGACGCTTGATTTTCCCGAAGCTGCAGAATCCTAAGAAACGGACGGGACTAAGATGCGTTTACCAGCATATTAACGTTCGGATAAGATCGATACTTTTGCGTTGCACAAGATATTGTCGCTAAGAGATAGGTCAATTGCGGATTAACCTAGCGTCGCTAGATAGACGTGCGAAACGATAAAGGAAACGCTGGATTAGCGATTAAGGTCTGACCGACGTGTTCGCGTGCCATTAGTGACAAAGAACAATGGCAACGATAATCTACAAGACCTTTTGAACGTCCAATGTCAACATTGTGATCTAAAAACCAGTATGCTGATCTATCGGGACGTGAAATTGGAATTGCTAATCTATCGGGATGTGAAATAACCGATATCTCTATCATTGCTTCCTATTCTTGAAACGTACGTCGATACGTTACCACGTTCCTTGGCGTTTGAAGATGCGTATTGCGAATAAATATCGTTCCGAGCCATTTATCCGGAGAGGAACTAACGTAATGGGATTAAACGCCAGTCGGTTCCGCACAAATCGCGAGCATGTGCGGCTTTTGAGGATGCGCAGTAAACCGGAACGCGAGTAAAAAGTGTAACGAGAAAATTGAAGATTTCTTTCAAGTCGCCGCCGTGCGAAGCGTCGAATTATTCGCGTGTAATTTAATTTTACCGTGTGCGAACGCTAATTGAATGCTCCCTCGTCAGATATGTGGGTCACCGAGATTAATCATCGGCTAAATATGCAAGGTCCGACTGTAACTCCGCACGTACGTCTCCCTGCCATATTGCGGTTCAATGAAATTTGCGGTCGTTTAAACCGAAGACCTCCGACGGGCCCGATCGGGCCGGTGGAGGGTTCTCTTTGATCGTTCGGCATCGGTACACGTGAATTTACGGCGGAAAACCACGAATGGGCAACGTGCACGCGGTGGAATTGCTCAATTATCCCGGCGCGGCAATCCCGCTCTGGCCGGCATGCAGAAGCCGATGGTACGTGGCGAGTTTACCTTTGTAAATTGGCGCAAAAAAGGCAAAGCACGATCGCGACGACAGCCGCCGTGGACGTGCAGCCGTCGTTTTGCTTGTCGGGGCCGCCGTCGCTGCGAGCCACCGCGAAATTAAGGTGCACGCATCTCGCGTTCTCGTTTGACGCCGGGGCGCACAAGGCTCGGGGCGATGAGCTCGTTGTCGAAAGGTTCTTCTGAAGTAACGAATTCATTTTTCCGCCTATATTCATTCTGCACGTGCTGCGGTGGATTTTTGCCCCTTGGAATACACCGCGATGTTACCTATTCGTGCAATTGCTCGCACGATAGTTCTCGGTTCGTGCAGCGATACAAGCGACTTGTAAAATTATTTAGAAACCTCCTCTGCCACGGCATTCCGCGCTCGGTAAACAAATTTCCCGAACCGTTGGTGCATTGGTCTTCTGTTGACGATGTAAGCTGCGCTGAAGCCTGGCAGACGATTGGCGCCTAGCGGGCGGCGATTTCCGAGGTCAGTCCTGCGAACGTTAATTCGAGAAGTTTTGACGCGAATGAGATGAGAAGTTTTGCCGGACGCTGCTGGTTCGCATTGCCAAGGTCAATCTAATCTTGGCCCTGTGTAGGTGAGGGGAATCACCGACGTCGCGCGCAGATACGTCGGTCATTAATAACGTTGAGCATCCACAGATAGAGCGCATCTAAAGCAATTCTCGGAAGCAGCACTTGAACAATCTTGAGGAGCCGCGAAATGAGTTTGGCAACGTGCGCCGATGACAATTAACATTGTGCTCGGGGCTTTTAATTCGCGGAATGTCTCATTAAATTGCCCTGAAATTGGGAATAAATTAAAATTCCACGTGTGATCAATTTAATAATTTATTTTCATTAATAATAATTTATTACTTAAATGTGTACAAATAATTATTTATTGTAGATTGTCGGATATTGTTGCAAAGTGAAATTTATGAAATATATCGCTGACAATTGTAATTTTATAAATGTAACATTACGTGAAAAATTAAACGAGCAAAAGGCGTTCGCGTGGGACACTGACGTATGAAACTGAACGTCGTTTACGAAGCGAAGTGACTTGTGACGAGAGTGACAGTGTTGCAACTGTGGCGGGCAGGTGTCTCACGTCGTTTTGTGCAATATGACGGTTGTCAAGATTCGAAATGATGTTCCGAGGCAAGTCGGCGCTATCTTCGGCGCCGATGCCCCCCCGTGAAAGTTAATCTCGAGTTCGGCAGCGCGGAACGAGCAATCTCGGATCTGGCCCATGTGAATCACGTGAATGACGGACAAATCTAACGCGCTGCCCCGCCGATCTTAAGGGCCCGAGCAGAATGGCTGTCTTATACCCTTAAGACAGCCTTAAGACAATGTTTTATGTTTTAAGCCTTTGTCTTGAGGTAACGCACAATAAGGACAAGACAGCCATTCTGGTCAGGCCCTAAGCTGGAAACACATGGGGAAAACACTTGGGTAGTAAAACTTAAGACTTAACAATTTCAACCAATCGGAATTAATGGCTGCTTACGCTCTTGACTCTCATTTCCCTTAAATCTTACGTTTCACTGCTAGTTCCGCTCGGGACGCCGAGCAGTTCACACGTCTTCTAACCAAAGAGAAATTCTTTTATATTCGGGGGTTGCATCAGTCGATTGAATCACCCCGCGCGTGGTCTGGTAACTGGCCCCTACCTTGTATTCATTTATTATCGACATTGCACGATTACCAGCTTGCCGCTTCGCGGCTCAAGTCTATTGTTTAGTTTTGGCCCAGTTGGACTCGACAGGAGAACCGGAGTCATCCATATTACAAGAAAAAAAAAGAAGTTTCACTGCTTAAGTTTTGTCGTGTGTTCGGGTCTTTACTACGCTCCGCCGGCGTAGCGATCGATTCCTGTTCTTACGCTCGCCAGGCTCGCGTTGCGCAATCCAGCGCGTTGACGAAATTAGTTTTAACAGTAAACGCGGACGGGCCGATACAAATAGCGCCTGTCCGGAGTAAATCTTTTCGCCGGCCTCGTCGTCACGATAAATCATTGTTTATTACAGTCCGTTATTTTCGGTATGACACTCTTCGGAGACACGCTCCGAAACAAATTGCTGGCAGAAGGCACGGGGACGTGTCGCATCCTATAATTCCGCGCTGTCCACCTCGGGCCGGCCGAATGAGAACGCAAATCGCGATGTGAGCGAACTCGCGCAAAATGATAGCACTGTAAATTAGCGGCGATCACCGAGTATCTGATCGTACCTTCGGCGAGGAATTACGCTCGGGATCACCGGTACGTATCCGGAGAGAGACGGAAGATCATTGATCGCCGAGATCGTCGATAGATCCGCGAGGGTTCCCCGGGTACAGTTACAGAACGGTCTCTCGCGCGCCACGTGCTCTTCCCTGGGCGTTTCATGCGAGCGTAGCGCGCGGCGTATTCGCGAAGGGGGAAAAAGCATCGAATAGATCGGGCCTCACGTGTGCGAACGTACGTGGCTCGCCGAGCCCTTGACTCGATCTTAATCTCCAACCGCGGTAACGTCGATCCGGGGAGAACTCGACGGTAACTGACTTTACGGCTTCCGCGACGGCATCGGATGCATGCGAAGGTGCTCTTTCATTCGTCCTGCGATTTCTTGGAAATCGAATTGCAACCGAGCTCCGCAGTTGATCCGTCTCCGGCATCGTGACGCAACGATACTCGATCGAGCGACAACAATTTTCTGTCGTCGATTAACGCAATTTTTTAAACGTAAACTCATTTCGAGCGAGAACAATCGCTGGCAATACAATTAATTGCTATAATTTTGCGTTGGGTTGAACATTGTAACGCGGTATATTTAATTGGATATATTTACATTTTAAAGTTCGACGCGAATTACATGTGCCGCCGCTGCATGTCGTGCCGGCGATTGTTAAATAATTTCCTGTTGTTGTCGCGGTTGCGCAATCTCTTCACGCTGCGCCGTGATTAGCAACACGAGGAGTAACGATACGAAAAAAAAACTCTGCCGTTTTCTCGCTTCATTGGCCGCGAGAGACTTGAGAAATCAATTTTTCTCAATGATTGTTACTTACCGTATTGTTGACATCCGCCTGCATGGTCGAGTCGTCCTCGATACCAGCTTTGACGAGATCGTCTTCCTTTTCGTTATCCGGGCTGTTCAGGTACTCGTCGTAATCCTGTTCGAGGCTCTTGGTCTTAGTCTGGGTATCGGCGATCTTTCCCTCCTGCCGATCGTGGCCCTTGACCGCTTCGCCGACCGTGTTCCTCGAGGGCTTGTGTCCGGTGGATTTGACGGTCGAGTTCTCTGCGGTTCGTTTATTTACGGAATAATTGGACGTGGTACTAGCGGCATGCGGTGCGTTCAGGAGATCCAGCGGCCTAGAGACGTTTCTTGGTTCGTACTTGAAATTTTTGTAGCCGTCGCGCTTGACGTGCTTATTCGTCTCGGTGTTCCTGTAATCTCTCTTGACAGTGGTCTTCGGAGTGGTCGGATCGTCGGACGTGAGCCTGCGGATGATTTCATCGTAGGTTTTCAAGGGTGGCTTCGTCTCGCTCTTGTAGAAATCGTTATCGAGCTCATCCTTCCCGTTGTCTTCGTTCCTGTCGTCGGCGATATCCTTCCAGATATCGTCCTCGTCCTCGTCCTTATCGTCCTCCTCGAGTCCGCCGTGATCCTCGTAATCCTCGTCCTCCTCCGTTTTACGGTCGTCCTTCGCGAAATGGTATTTCGCGTCCGAGGAATTGGACCTTCTTCTCCAGTCGTCCGTTCGTTTCGTCACGTCGACACGATCGACACCCTCGCGATCCTCCAAGCGATGTCTTCTCGCACCGTAATAACTGTTCATCTTGCTCCTCCAATCTCTCCTGGAGGGCGGCGTGTGTCGCCTGGAATCCCTCCACCGTTCGTGGTGCTTATCCGTCTCGCCGTTTCCGTATCTTTGCGGCCACTCATAATCGTAATTCTCCTCCGTGTCGTCATCGTAGTCCGACACGTCGCGGTTGCGCGAATATGCGGGCCTGTAGTAGGTCCTGCCGGGTCTGTACCGGTGATTTCTCGTATTATACCGCGGTGAGATCCTACGCCTGTCGTTGTCCTCGTCGTACCAGCCGCTTCCATACCCGCCGTTATGATATCTCGACGGATAGCGCGGCTCAAACATCCGACTGTGATAACTCTTTTGCGCGGATCGATGATGCGGCGACCTGGGATAATCGTAATACGATCGCGCCTCGTAGTCGTCCTCGTCGATCGGATCCTCGGAGTCCCCGTCGTACTCGTAGTCCACCTCCTGCCAGGATTTCCTGTCGAGCTCGTGATGACCTCTTCGATTCGAGGATTCGTGCCTGTGCCTGTGTCGGTGTTTCGCCTCCGTTGTCGTCGCGTCCTCGCGCTGATGGTACCGGCACTCGACCACGAAGAGGCCGTAGGCTATCAGCAGGCCCAGCAACAGTAGCAGCCTCCTGTCGCGCGTCATTTCGTCTGCGCAGCACCGTTCCTCTCAAGTCACCTTACATCATCACGGGCCACGTGACACGTGCGGCTTTCGCGCGCTCGCACCTGTCGATCACCTCTCGATACCTCGCCGGTCGCGTGTCCCTCAGCGACGCATCGAGCCGGCTCGATTGTCGAGCAGCAGCAACAGCACTCGTGATGATCGATGTTGCGTCGATCATTCCATCGATCGAACTGAAGCGGCACGCCGCGGCGCCGCACCTATTCGAATTCGACGGTTCCTGCTGACCGGTCGATAATTCTACCCGGGAACCGTCGATCTTCCCTGATCACAGACGCGTTTCTGCTTCTCGTTTCTCTCTAAATTTGACCGCACGTCGCGGCGACGTCGCGGCCAGGTTGCAGTGACCACGTGGTGACCGCGGAACTTGAAACGGCGGGGCGATCGCGAGCGCGACTCCTCTTGGCGCGGCTCGAGTGCAATCGGCGACCACTGTGAAACCCTTGCCCGTCACTAATTACATTCTATCACCTGAATGTCACAAAAAATATCGGGATTCGTTCGCGAGGACAATTCGTGGCAACGTTATCTCGCGCCCTGCCGCTCCGCGTTTCACAAGTTGCCGGTGATTTTAAGTAAGAATCTACCCTCTTGATCTTTTCGAAGTTATCAATCGTCTGTGCTTGAGCCGAGAGTCCGCGACTCACACCAGCTACGTTCACTATGTCCCAGTTTATTCAACTGTCTCCGCGATTTTTTTTTTAATTCACCAATTTATTATCTCGGAATATTTTTTGCAAGAAAACATCCCCTAAACGATAGCCTACGTCCGTGCCATCCGACGATTTCCGACGACCTCGGAGTGCAGTGTCACCGGGTTCCTTCGAGGGGGGTGGTTTGCCTAAGCCGGGCACGGGCGATTCGGTGGGGCCCGGAGGAGGACACGACGCGTTCACGCCGAATCGTATCGCGGACAGAATGTCGCGGGCGACTGAGGCCAGCCGGAGCAGCCGGCGGCCTGCCTGAGAGATCGCGGAACGCAACGCGCATGCGTGCGAGCGATATTCGCCCCCACTGCCCCCCTCGTGCCGCATCGGCGGTGGTACCCCCCGGTCGCCGTCGCCTCCTTCGCCCCTTCGTCCTTCGCCTTTACCTCCGCAAGAAACCTCTGTGCACGGTGTTTCACGGACTCGGCGATGATGCACCGTGAAACAATAGGCATTCGGCTACGGGAAGGGGAGAGAGGGGTCCGAGACAAGTCCGCGGACGCGATGGGCCGCATCTCCGCCGGACGTACTGCGAAGGGGTACGAAGGAGAACGTACCCCTTAAAAAGTCATCACTTCCGATTACTCGAGGAAATTGGTTCTTTTCGACAGTTTCGACAGAGAAGTGTGGCATGGCGGAATCTCTGGGGATTCGGGAATAAATAAAATAAAATCAGTCTCACCGATAATAAGCTTTTTATTGACATATTCAACGCCAAATGTATTTTACATGAACTTTCGTTCCAATTGAATTATTTTATATTGAACAGGACAACGAAACATTTAATTTATAGTAGTAAATTTATTATAGCATTAAACTGCGCAAAACTCTACGTGACATATTTGTTTGACTATCATGATAGTCACCGGTGACCATCATAGCGGTAAATGTATTAACTGTATACGAACGGATAAATTGAGACTTATTTGGTTATTTGAACAGTTGAGGCCTCTTTTCCGCGATGTCGATTGGTTTTCTCGAAGCGCGCGGTGTGCTTCCCTTCTCTTTTAAATTCATAGTGAATAAAGATTTACAATTTAGAAATATACATTTATATACACCAACTATTGAGGTAAAATCTCTAATCTGAGTAATTAGAATTGAAGTAACAACGATTTTTGTTCCGAAACATTTTCTCGATTGAACGGAATTAATCGCTAATTTAATCGATATCAAGTCCGCAGAATGATACGCAAAACGTAGCAACAGTCACGGAACAAAGTAATGTACAATAAAATATTAAGTACGGAATTTTCCATTGCGTAGGCAGGCCAACGAATTCTCAACGTTTTTTTGTTGTTTTTCACTCGGCGCGGTATCGTGCGACGTTACGCGGGCCATAGTTTACCTGAAGGTCGCCGCGGTATCACTCGCTCGCCGAACGTCGAGCCGGCAGGCTGTAGCGAGAGTCGCTCCGTGCTTGGTATTATTTTTGTGTTAACGGTTTCCACAACTCGATCGCGATAAATGTAAGGATAAAACGCCTATTGATTTGCACACCTTTATCAGTGACAAGTGACGTTCCTCGATCAATTATTAATTTTCTATAAGTTGTAATGAGAAACGAATTGCATGTTGAGGCGACGGCTCTTTATCAACGCACACACAGATGTTTCACGAGACCAACTCATCTGAAATATGAAGGTAAACCGTGGTACTTTGTCGCGGTTACATCTCGTTTACGCACCGCGCTTTTAATTATCTATCGATTTCGTATAATCTGTTTCATTTTCGGGAAAAGAGAAATTTGTACGACTTCGGCATTCGCGCTGTAATTTTTCGCAACTCGAACGGGCAGGAAGTAAAGAAAGTCGCTTATTGCACATCGCATATTGCTCGCGTTGCGTTTTATATCGGCAAATCAAAAGTGTTTTATCCATTATCCTATTCTTCCGAATCAAAAATGCAAGTTGTTAGTTTGAGTAATTTGTATGATAGAAAGTCACGCGATATTTGTTAATAATATTTCGTGCGTTTCGCGGTATTTCACATCGCGTACGGGAGTGTCCGAAATTTTACGCAATCGGTGATTTTCGCGAGTGATTTGTGTGAGTGCCACAAGGAAATCTGAGAGGAGGAGGAGGCTAAGGAGGCATCGGGCAACGACGGAGAAATGGTGAGGTAAGTGTCTTACATTCTTATGTTATTTGCTACTTGTATAAAATAAAGCATCTGTTCTATGTTTTTATTTTATTTATTCAAATGATTCGGACGAAGATTCGAATAAGTGTTAGAGACAAAACCATACGTATAAAATTTTGTTAGTCTATATTTAAAAGGAAGACTTTTTTTGAGTGTTGTATAATTATTGTAATAAATACCTATTTTGCAAAATATAAAATATAAAAAATATTTATTAAAATAAGTTCGATTTAACATAATTATTCTATAATAATTATATACTTATTTGTATTTTTACAGTTTAACGATGTACAACTCTGCTGTTGCGAATCGTATCAGTGAGTGATAAATTACTTATTATGTTTAATTGACGTTGCGCATACAATTACTTCTTTGGATGTATAGAAATTCTTAAAAATATACAAGCTCAACTGCAAACTGCTCGCGCGAAGCGCGCGTTTTGACATCTCTAGTTTATTATAAAGTACGACAGCTAAGAAGGAAACGATGCTTAGCCTTGTCACGCTTTGCCGAGCGAGGTTGGAGAACTGTGAACACAGGTGTGGTTCACGCATCAGAATGTAAATGACATGTATAAATGGCGTAACAGCTAACTGATATTTCGATCTAAGTATATTTTCCGGAATGCCGGGATCACTGTGTTTCAGTAGCGACACTTTACGTCGCGTTGTTCGGAAAGCTGTAAAAATTGAAGGCGCGGATCAGCGTTGCGACCACATTCGTGGTCCTTGGTGTCGCGCGTTTGTTGAAACCGGTTTTCAATTTATTTCGAATAGACACGACATTATCCGTATTAGACTCTCGTGGAGATTGCTTCTTGTCCGCGATAAAAGGCATTAAATTGATTTAATATCGAATGAAGCCCGTGGTACGCGTGTCGTTCTATCTGAGTGTATCTTAATCAGCGATTATGAAGCGGATTTAGATACGAGTGAGATTTATTCTCTGGTAGTACTTTATTTAAGAAATACAAGCACTAATTGATTTTTAGCTCTTCATTAAATCACGGTAATGTTCAGGTTCGCACATCGTAACAGCAAATTGAAAATTTTGTATGCTTACTTTGGATAATCAATTCATTCGCATAAAAAGTTACTATCAAATTTAGAGAAAATAATTACGTGTTTGTCCATAAATTAAAAAATACACATCACTCTTGATAATGTCAAAAAAAGTAACAAGGGTAGAGCGAGAGTATAAACACGGTGCGTGAGTCTTAATCAATCATATACGAACAGATTACATCTCTAAAGAAAGGATGATCTCACTTGTACGTTTCGACTCTATTCGGAGAGTCATCTTCAGCATCATAATTACTAATTTCATTGCTGGTCCATCCGGTGGAAGCTTCTCAACTCATCGGTCAAAAAGTTTACGGTCATTTCTTGAGTAAAAGATCAAAATCGAGTCACCCAGAACCAACAGACTCGCAGGACACATTAAAAGAATCTGTAAAAATTATTAAACAATCGATATCAGTTAAGGTCAGGAAACTGAAAAATAGGATTTGTTGTATATCAAACGCATGGCGTGACTTCCAGTTATCGCACTTGTTGTTTCTTATTAACGCACTATTTGTTTCTTAATAACATTTGCACGCAAGTCTAAGAATCGAAGCAAATGTTTCAAAGCCACAATATTGTAACAAGTTTGAATGACGAGAGGCAGAGATGTATCTTACAGGAGAATTTATGGCTAGGTTTTTAGTGCAAATGGATGATTGATGTTAAAAACGCGTTATCAGACCGCCATCCATCTTGCGCTTTTGCGCAAAAGTCTTTTTTTTTACGAGGGATTATCCAACGCTCGCCAATGCTTTTAAGCCGAAAGGGGTATCAACCGAGCGACGCTAAGGAGAGCAATCTTAATCCCTTGCGGGAAATCTCCTTCTTCGGATCTTCTCCGGCCGCGTCCACGGCATGCATAATGCGCGGAGGAACGTACGTTTCAGTCGCGTCTCCCGATTTTACGATCGTCCGGGTCGAACGACAGTCAACCGGCGGCTGGCCTTTGCGCCGGGCGTCCCATTCACTTTTGCGCCGCCATTCAAGAGATGGGACTCGGAGTGGAGCGCGGCGGTGCCGCGAAATCCGAGCCGAAAGGGGAGGAAGGGAGGTTTCGTGCCGATAAAAAGGAGAGTGAGGGAAGTCCTACCGTGATATGCCGTGGCAAAGGGGGGCTCGAGAAGGAAGCCGCGAGGGAGAAGGAGGAAGACCACCGATCGTTGATGCCGGTCCTGCAACCGGTACAACGAGGACTGGTTTTTCGTCGCGCACGGAGGTCGGCAGGTGCTTTTTGTCGACCCTTTAAACCGGCGGTCGCCGTGCTTACGGTGATAAATAAACACGGCAGCCTCCACCTACCCCTCGTGGCTGTCACGCTGCGTCCCCCGTCCCTGATTTAATCGATCGATCTGTAACGCGAACGCGCGATCTGTCGCGAGGACACGTCGCGCTAAGCGGATCTGTACCGGCGTGGTTCCAGGAAGCTGGAAAAGGGAAAACGCCCGTGCTCTCGCATCTCGAGGCCGTTTTTAAAGATCTGTCAAGTCTCTGTAGGAAACTAGAGTCAACTGATCGTCGCGCACGTGCGTTTTCACAATCCGCGGCGTTTTGCCGACTCGATGCGCGAGAGATCGGTGAAAGCAAGGCGGCATTTGAAATCAAGTCTCTTGAGTTTTCTTTTTTTTCCCCCTTCAGCAACGACTCCCGATGCGCGGTCGTTACGGCGCATCGATGAAAATTGGAAGTTGCACTTTACACGCGTTTACGCCGCCAAACGTCGGATTCGCGAGAGGCTCGAAATGGCTCTTTGCGTTGCACGATCATTAAAATATTTCACGTCAGTCTCATCTTCCTAAATGTCGGGAGTGAGTTATGTAATACGCGTCGGCTGCAGCACGGAGGTGGAAAAATTGATTTTACAACGCGGAATCTATCGGTCACGGCGCGGCGTTTAGCGTCGGCGAGCGCTGGATTTCTCTAATTATTTCGCTTTCACGCCCCGTCGGCGTTCACGTCCGCGTTAATTTGTATATCCACTTGTCGGGGCTCGCGAAGGGTGAACAAACGGGCGCTCGTTAACGCCCGACTCGTTAAAATGGCGATTAAATCGCATCCGTCCGACGGAATCTGCGTGGAACGCATGTAATCGCGCGCCGCGCAGATTAACGAGGTGAGAGGTCCGCTCGTTAAATGAACGACGCTCGGATAAATTCTCTTTTTCGAGAATCTCTCGCGCGCGTGCCATTTCGGAGCTGACGAGACGAGTAACCGCTTCGCGCGATCGTAGCGTAAACGACAATGCCTTTTGCGCCTCGCTATTTACTTCTCGTCTCGATCAAGTCTGTCGCGCGGCGTCTTCGTGGTCTATGCGCGGGCGGACGAATGCGTGTTTGCAGGCACTTGGTTCGTTTCGACGTATGCCTAGAAAAAATTTATTTAGAACTAAATTTTTAATTCGGTTCTTTTAAGATATAATTCAATTACAAGTGTAAACGCCTTTAGGACCTGGCACAGGTCCACAGATGGAGGTAGCCACTTAAATTGTCATGTGAATCCGTATACCGTATTTATTCCATCCTGTCCTGCGTAGGTACCGTTACAAACGGACAATCACAGGTTTTTCGTTATCATTGTTGTGGAATCATTGTCGTCAGTGAATTCACGTGTTATAAAATCGCCGAGCGATTTTTCTCAATTATCTTAAAATGCTATACTTAGCATTAATTACGATAACCCCCCTCCCCTACACTGAAAATTAAAATTCTTATTGCGAAAAATATTACCGCAGCCAGGACTCGAACCTGGGACCTCTCTCAATCCGTGACGGGCGTCTTAAAATTTATTTAGGTTAAACAAATGAGATACGTTGAAATCATGTTTCTCTGAATCGACTAAATTTTTATTTACTTCCACTAAAACATTTGCTAGATTTGAAGAAATATAGATATGATACACTATTTGATATTACGTTATATTTATTAATTTGTAAAAATAGATACGAATTCTCCTAGAAATTCCAGTTTCAATCAAAGAAAATTTTGGTTGAGGTGAAGAAATAATTTCTTTAAAATTAAATAAAAGTCTGGTAAGGTCAAAATTCAAGCAAATTAGTTTAATTTTAGACGATCTTTTTTTCTGGATATACGAGAACCCGCGCGATCGTCCAGATAGAGAACGTTCACAGGCGGCACGCATGCTCACGTGGAGTCTCATCAAGATTTTCGTAGACACGAAACGAGATTAGTCACGCGGATTGGAGCGCGGCTTTCGTGCTGGAGGAGAAACGGATGCGAGAAATACCGATTTGTTCTACTTACAGAACGTAGCGTGACCGGGGAGGGGGGGGGGGCTTCCCTTCGAATGCACGTTTATAGTTTTTCATACGTCATCGACTTAAAGATTCATGTCGCCGCGTGGTACCGACGTTATCTCGTTCCTCCTGTTGATTTCTCGCGCACGAATATTTTTCTCGTTTCCACAGCTGGTATCTAATCGTGACTAGTCACACATTAAAATTAAAGCATGACTAATACGAATACTTCAAATTTAATAGAATCAATTAAAAGAATCGAGAACGTTTCTGTTGCTTGCTACAAAGATTATGCGAGAACGAGGCACATCGACATCCGCGTGTACCTTTTTCTTTCGTCCGAGAGAGTCAATAGTCATCTAGCCAGAAATCTTGTGTATTCATAAGACACAGATGCTCGACTGTACTTTATCATATCATCGATGTTTATCGAGGCTACTGTACCAATCATAATTATGTGATATATGCTCGACTTGATGAAATCAGCACGTTGGAGCGTCAGTTCCAGACTATTTGAGCATTCCGCGCGTTAACGCGGACGGAATAATTTATAACGTCGTGAAATATAATCGCGAGAAGTGAAATTCGCGCGGCGAATAAGCTCAGCGGGGGAAAAAAGCTGGTCAGGGTCGGCACATTGCTATTGTGAATTTACAAGCGAGAGATAATTCGACTTCTCTATTGCGCGGTTTACGTTTCTTCCGATTTCGCGTCTCTTTCGCTCAAGTTTATCCGGGTTATCGGCGGAGATTACGCTTTTGGGTCATTTTGCCATTCCCAGAAATCTCACTTTCCGTCCGCGACAGTCAATTGGTTTCCCATCCTTGCGTTACGCGCACGTGAGAGACGCGGTAGAAAATTTTCGAAAAACTTTCCTTATCCTTCCGGCGACACGTAACACGCTTAGATCGTTCCCTCCGTAAAAGCACGATCGAAAGCAGATTGCCGCGCGAGTGCCCCGAATGGATTTACCGCAAGTACTCTCGACTTTCTTCGTTACGGAAATAAATCACGCTCAACACGCTAAAAGCAATCGGGAGGGAAGAAATGGTAGTAGGACCGAGTTCGAGATTCTCGCCTCAAAGGGGGAAAAGAGGAAAAAAAACGAACACGGGACACCCGCCGCGGTCGCAATCCCCGAGATGCATTTTCGTCTGATGGTCGCCGCTCTCGCCTACACGCAGAAAATCCCATTTTGCACGGCGCACCTGCTGAGTGGCCGCGCGAGATGGGCGACGAAGAACGCGCGTCGGAGTCCGAATGTGATAACCGGAATAGCTTCTTCTGTAATCCCAAGGCCGCCGGCACTTGGTCGCGCGACCTTTGACACCTCGACCCGACGGGACACCTCCCCGCGGTACTCGCGCGGGTACTCCTCTTCTTTCGCCGCGTTCACCTTGAAATACCAGCGGCGTGTGTCCCCCCGTGCGAGAGAAAGTGTCCTGGCTCTGTCGTTCCGCGGAGCTCGAGACGCGTTTCGGCGAGAGGAACGCGGTTTCCGCTTTGGCGTGTTTATCGGAGTTGCAGTGAAACGGATCGGCGCCGTCGACGCCACGAAATGTCATAGCGAGCATCCGAAAATCCCGCGAACGTTCCGTCGTCTCGTGATACGAGGTTTTTGTCGCTATTTGCCGTCACCAAAGCCACTTTCCACCGGATAACGCGAGCGGAAGCGCTTAGAAGATAACTAGATGACAAACAGAGGGAAGCAAATAACGTACCCTATTATGGCTTACACCCTATGTCTTAAATGCAAACATCGCTCATGAGAACCTTTTAACCTCCAGCAGCCTTTTTAGCCTTGTAGTTAATAGGAACAACCCGCAGCCGGTAACTTGTGAAGAAAGCGGGTCTTTGTAACGATCTTTACAACGCCATAAAAATGGCGACGGAAAATGAAGATTTAAAAAAACAGTAGTTGTTATCATGCGTAAACGGCGCGGTTCTACCTTAACAACCAATGTCATACGTAAATCTTACCGCGCTGCTAGGTAAAATCTAGACATCAGCATAAGAGAGAGAGAACGCCATTGTTCGGATGTACAATTATTCCTTCTGGCAAATCTGTTAGATTACGTGTAGCGACTATGCGTCGGCCATTTGCATTCCATTTTCGCAGGTAATTTCACACGACAATGGCGAGCAGGCGCCCCAGTGAATTAGCAAACAATACCAGAGCTATTTTGTCCTACTAATTTGTTACACGACACGTACAGCGGCACGTACAAGATTGCTATCTTTTAACGTTTGTACGCTTACCCCCGGTTTTACATAATCTAATCTTTTGTACAAGAGATCTGGGGCCCGATTCTTGAATCATCCGAAAGAGAGAGTGGGAAAATTCTCTTCTTACGAAAAAGTTACGTGTCGATTAGCTAAATGCGAGGGGAAAACCGCTGAGGGCATTGTGGTGTACAGATTTGCGGCATTACTGGGCATTTTTCGGGGCATTAGGCTTTGCTGAGGCATTATAAAGATAAAATAAGATAAAGTAATGCCCACTGGGCATTGGTGTACAAGGTTTCGATCAGCGGTTTCCCCCTCGCCTAAAAGCCATGCGAATGGCCAATTAACTTGCAGTTTTTCTCTGCAAGAGCAGGATTTTCGCGTACGTTTCTCTTGCGAATGAATTCGAGAATCGAGTTTCTGTTCTCTCGAGGCTAAGAAAACGCTTTTCACTAGTTCTAGTTTGATATTTGGGAAGAACAAACGAACACGGCTGAGTTTCCTCCGTAATTTTGCGTAATGTTTTATTGACTCATTATCAAACGCAATGCGCTCTCGCACTGTATACTGCTGTTGTTTTTTTAAATCCTTTGGCTTTAATGCGTAGCTTATATAGAGACTAATATAATCTGTTGCTGCACCTAAATCGGAGATATGTTAAACGCAGGTACAGGGCGGTGAACATTACGAAGGGACATTTAAACGCGTGAGGAGCGCGCGCGGACGCGCTCGGTAATTAGTACTCGACACGAAGTTACGTAAGGTGCGCTCTTCTCGTATCGCTATACTTTGTACTTTAATAAAAAACTTGAGGGCAATTTGTCGGAGACACGCGTCCTTCATATATAATCGTTACATCTTTAACATACATATTTTTTGCGCAACAAGTATTTCGAGTGTGTGATCGGTCGTGCGCGTGCGTGTGTGGTTGCTACGTTATCAATTGATTTGTATTTAATATACGTATAATATAATATTAAGAAACTGTTTAGACATTAATTAACAATAGGTAAAGCGTTACTGTTTATCAACGGTATTAAAGTTACTCTCGATACAATTGGAACGCGTTCGCCTACACATATCTTTTTTTTTTGTTTTTACGTTACTGCTTACTAACGTCGGATATATTTAGAAAAGAAAGTATATTTTATACAATCGGATTTTCTTATTTTGCGTGTCGCTTGCACGATTTCTTTAAGTACAAATTCTATTCGGCAAAAACGTGCATTTTTTTTTGTCCTCGGATAGGGAAGTGTCTCGCGTGGAAAATGCCTCGCTGTGGAAATTATTCGCTGCGACGACGAATCTCGGATGTCGTGGGAGGTAAGAAATGTAGCCGATGAGACGGACGAAGGTCCGATCGGACAATCGCGATGACGATCAAACGACATTCACGGCGCGCGATTGTTATCGGACCTCGTCGTTCGCTCGTACTTTCGTTTCTTTATCGAGAGGCTCCTGGGGGACGAGGTGCCCCTCCCGTTTCTCGAATCTCCCCGCACAAGTCTACGTCTCCTACCCACGTCCCCGACCTTACAGCATCCTCGACAGGGCCATAAGCGCCAGCGACGCGCCCAAATTTATCATCATCGCGGGTGTCATCGCGGACGCGCCCGAGAGGTTGAGTTTGCTCCTCAAGTCCTTCGGTACGTCCACGTAGACCTTGTCGACTCCCACTGCTTTGATCAGTTTTGAGAGTTGCGCGGCGTCGACGTGGTCGCCCTCTGGCGACCAGATCGTCAGGGTCACGTTGGTCGACGTCGTGTTCTTCAGTAACGCCTTCATGCCATCGATATCGTTCGCGACGAGGCCGGCTCGTACGGGATAAGTTACCGGCTGGGTAATACGACTCTCCGTGAGAGTGTCGACCATCTTCTTGAGCTGCTCCGTGGTGTATCGGCCCTCGGTGATGTTAGATTCCTTCCCGTATCTAAAATATTGACGAAACTGCTGAATTTCAGTCCGCGGCGTCACACGGCTGGGCGAAAATTGAAATTAGCTCGTGTCTCATTAGTACAATGAATCAGATTAGTATAATAGCAAATTCTCTTGCAAATGCATTTATAATAATATAATACCTGTCCATGTTACCGTGTTTGTAAAATACCTATGCGCGTTACTGCATTTGTAAGAATAAATTCGATTAGAACCTTACAGGCGCAAACAGCGATTGTTTCTTTTTAATTGACAGACGTAAAGATGTTGAAAATGAATGTTAATTAAGTTTACATCTAAAGATTTGTTCTTTGTTATTCATCTGCGGGGCCTTCAAACGTCCCCGTTACAATATACGTCTCTAGTATTGACGTACGTCCAATATGTATTCCGTTGGAGCGCTATGTTGAATTATCTCCTCTCTTTCTCTCTCAGGGACTTTATATTTATAACCCCTTTTTTTTCTAAGAGATCTTGCGCCGTGAGGGTCACAATGTATATTTCTTTGCTTATACGGTTGATTAATTGCAAGGTTGCATATTAGAAACCGCTGTTGCTGCGCTCAGCGTGCATGGCGATAGTTGTTTACCTGGTTGTCCAACCGACAGAAAGAGTAGACTCCGGCAAAACAAGGCTCGCCCCTTTCACGAATTCCGTCGCGTTCAGCGGAACGGTGTTAGCGGTAGTAGCGTTGACTGGTCCAGGCAGGATGTCCGCGTTGAGGAAAAGTGGGTACTTAAACTGGGCAAACAAATGTGCTTCGTATTTATTACCCTTCGATCGCGCGATTCCAAGTAATCTACACTGAGAAAAATGTTCTGATTGCATCAACAAGACATGTATGATAGATTGTATTTTAGTTAAACCAAACAGAATCTCTAGGCTATCACGATAGGGCTCGATATTTCGTAACCAGAAGTTTGATAGACTCTACGACGCATCTAGTAAATCCTAAAGGAGTTCCGACTCGTCCATTTTCTAGCAGACGACTGGTTGAATCTACCAGACTTCTAATTAATGCAATCAGACTTTTTTTCGCGTATACGCACGTTCCGTCGCATCCTGTCGAGAATGGGCTTGCTGCTCTCGAAAGCTTCATTGGACTTGAAGTCCAGCTTGATGCCCTTCTTGCCGTTGATGTTGGTGGCGTTGAGGAACTCCTCGAGCGACAGATCGCTCTCCTTGGCCGGTGGATGCGCCATTATCGGGATATTGGTGTAATTGCCGCTGGTATTGTTAACTTTGCCCATCACGACGTCGGCCTCCAGCATCATGACGTCCGCTTTAAAAAGGAAAGTCGGTTGTCTGCGGGTACGTGTGCTGGTGCGCGCGCGCGAGAGCAGTTGAGACGACCGGTCGGTCGGGCGGGAGGGCTCTGGGTACGTGCATACACACGTGTGGCGAATATCGATCACGCCTAAAGAGGCTGGAAGACTTGCCGGATCTCGGCGCATCTGCCAGTGTTAACGCTCCAACGACCGGAGAGTCTGGCTTTTCCGAAAAACCGAGGGCACGACGGACTCACGTTACTTCGGAGGACGAGTTCGGCGGCAAGAAGGGACGGTGTTTTTTTTTTTGCGGCTTTCGCAAAACCACGATGGGGTTCGCTTTTGCGGGTATTAAAGTGACCACCTAGGAAGATTCGCGGGGGACTGCAAACGTGGTAAAAAGATTGGCGGGAGAGTTATTATAATAGAAAGCGTGCGGTGGATGCGCGATAGACGCGACGGATTTAGCGTTTTGATACGACCTTCGTCATTGAGCGGCGCGCTCAGCCGCGGAATTGAACAACGAAGGTGGAACTTCCGTTTTCTGACCGTCAGCCGCAACTGCCTTGACGTCTCATTGAGATTCAGCGGAGGCGCGGGTGCGCTTTTCGAGAAACTCGCGTCAGACGTGACTGCGTACAAATGACTTATCTGAGGATCCGGTCGTGTACGGAGGTGGAAGATTAAAATTCGAGAGTCCGGATCTCCTTTTTTCCTTTCTCTCTCTCTCTCTCTCTCTCTCTCTCTCCCCAAGCCGAGAGAAGTTCCGCGCTCGAGTTGCGACGTGAATTGTACCGCGTCCGTCCGGGATCGTCATACAAAATGCGCGTCGGGCGTCAAAGGGAAGTGGCGGCTGTCGGGGAAAACGTCGAGATTTAGCTCGACGCGACTTATATTTTACACGGAGCGCCTCCTCCGTGGAGGAACGCGCGCGAAAGAAATCTTTCTCTCTCGGGGAGGGACGCAGACACACCGGCGCATGAGAAGCTCTTTCCCTCGCTGTCGATATTTCTGGAGGCGCACTTTTCAAGGACATCCCGCTATTATTTAAAGCGCGCCAATGTAAAAATACGTGTCGCCGTGTGCGGGCTGTGCACACAAGGGCGCCGCACAATCGGACGATATTGATACATGGAGAATACCCGTGAGAGTGACAAACGCAAAAAGCGCCGGCATTGAAGGCTGGAGACGCGCGTATGCAGCGAAATGCCACGTGGTTCATTAACTAATAATACGTCGGCGGTCGATGCGAATCGCGAATTTGCGATAAATTAGCGGCCTCAACGCGAAACGGTCTCGCGGAAATTGTCCCCCGACCGGTGCGTTTCTCGGTATCAAGTGTTCGTCCGGATTGTTTTTCGTTTGCAGATAGTCTCGCGCAATGCTGGCGCATCAGATGGATATCTAAATTGCCTCGTATCACTGCAATTTCAGTAAATGTTCTCCCGTCAAATCCGCGTAAGCTATCACCGCCCGCCGGTGATTAGAGTGTCTTATCGCGCAACTATTACCTTTTGCATAGATAGCGTTAATGCCATAACGCTATTAGCCCGCGAGCGGTCGCGGTCTCGAAAGCAAATCACGAAGTGAATTTATTTCTTGGCTTTGTTCTGCACATCGTTTTGCATTTAACACGAAATTGCAACGTTGCTTCGTGCGAAATCTACCAAGTCGTGGATTTCGTCGGCGGAGCGGAAAATTGAATAAAAAGCGATAAAAGAAATAACGTATGTCACCCGTGGGTCCGCTCCGTGATTAATAATACACGTTTACTCTCGCGATATGCAGCGAGCCGCGCCAGCTGTAATTCGGTATAAAACTGAAACGTCCCTCGATTTGAAATTAGCCTGAAATCAAAGCTGGCACTTTGATGACGTAACAATGTCTGCTCGGTTCGAAAAAAAAATTTTCTTTCCAATCCACCTTTCAAAAAACCAATTCGCGGAATGTTCGCGTCGTAAAGCCACGTCGAATATCTTCAGGGCAATACCGGCGGTATTTGAACACGCGGGAATAACTGGAGCAGCATCGTCTGTCTCCCCGGCTCTCTCGAGCGCGCGATGAACGAAGAGCGAAGAGCAGCCCGGTGTTGATCGACCTACCTGACGAGAGTGCCTTTTCCAATTCCGCCTGGCTGTTGACAGCGTGCGCCCAGACGATCTTCGTGAGATTGCCTTTGACATTGGGAAAGAACTCGCTCGGAGAGCATATGCGCGAGCAGTTGCTGGTGCACATGGCAGTCTCTGAAACACAAGAAGCCGGTTATTATCAGGGCCGCCGTTTTCGTGTAGCGACGCACGGACTTGACCTTCCCCATCGGCATTCGCGAGACCGCCTCGACCCATGACCCAATATTCGACTCGATGCGGCTCGCTCCATAATTGAGCGAGGGACTCGAGAATTCCTCGCGCGGCGCGGCGACCGTAGACGACCGAGAACCTCCGTTCGCTCCTCCTAGTGTGCCGTTCGATCGATAATCACGTTCATTTGTCACGTTCATTACGAGCGGCTTCCAGCCGTCGTCTCAGCGGCGACGGCAAGCGTTTCGCGAAGCCGCGCGGTCGCCCCGCGTTCCGCCTGCGGCGGGAACGAGTGACCGTGCGAAACCGCGGGGTCATCTCGCCGAGCGATGCATCGCTCCTCGCGACGGCGTCGATTTTTATCGGTCTTTTGTCCCCCCTCCTTTTATTCCCCGCGTTGATTCGCTCGGTGGCACAGATACGGGTAGAAACGAGTTCGCGTACACGGTCGACCGTACGTAGACGGGATGATGAATTAACAACGGGGTTGCGTTAATTCACGTCGTCGGGCGTCCATGGAAAATTCCACGGCTCCCTTTCCCCGGATTAGATCATTTCCGGTACATTTCGGGGGCCATGTGGCGAGCGAACTTGGCGCGCGTCGAAGTGACCCTTCCGAACAGATTGCGATTCGTCCTCCCGCCGCGGTTCTCCGGCATCCTTTTTCATGAACGATCAACGAGTAAGACTTACGTCATGGCGTAGGGTGGGGCCCGCTGTAAAACGACGGCCTGTACTTTTTAATTCGGCGAAGAATCTCACGGGAGAACGAGGGAACTCTGTCTCGCGGTGAATGTTTAATTACTCTACTTTCTCTAAACATTCTGATTAAAAGTTTCCCCTCTGTTTACCCCCGGGCGAGAGAAGAAAATGGCAAAGGTTCTCTATAGACATGTTATCCTCGACAGTACGGGCGTGTCATTTAAAGTCTAATGTCGATATCGACCGTAATAAGAAAGTTCCGGGGCGGCTAATCAGCTTACAATCGAAAAGGCAGTGTTTGTTCCTTGTCTACTACCAGCTTGTGGAGCGCAAAAACTTAGCGGGGAGCCTTTTTTCCCGCGTAGCTCGCGGGTTAACGTGATTAAATTACTATGCTCGTTAAGCTGTTCGGAATTTATTTTCTGCAAACTTCTCCGGAAAGGGAGGGGAAAAAACAATCTCGCGAAAGATCGATAACTAGCCACGTAGCCGCGCCAATGATTCCGGCTGACTCGTTTCCGGTCCAGCGATCACGGGGTGAACCCGGACGCGCACCGAGCGATAGAGAGACGCTGGACCAATTCTTTTTTTTTTGTTTTAACATTAATAGTAGCCTGAAACCTGTCGCACAATAGGAAAGCACAGGCAATAGGAATAAGGAATAGAAATACGGAATAGAAACCTGTGTAATGCCAAGATACAATGATTAGTTGGCAATAGGAAAGCTGTCCAGTGCTTTTTGAGACCACGCGCCTGTCCCAGAGTCTCAACCGTGATTGGTCAGGTAGGTTAGGTACAGGGATTAGGGAACAGAAATTCAATACGTCGGAAATTCTTTTCCTATTGCCTATTCCACATTCCATTCTGCGTCGATACACGGTTTTTGGATGGGTTTGATTTTAGTTATTTTTGTTGCGTGTGTTATTCCCTATTTCTATTGTGTGATAGGCTCAAGTTTCCCTTGCACTTTGTTTTGTGATTTAATCGTTGTTACTTGAGGACGTATAGGATTGTGCGCGTCTCTATAGAGATTCCCCATCTTTTTATGAAATTCACGCTGCGATGAGCAACAAGGATATCGAAAACGATACGTGTATAGAGACACCGTTATTGGAAAATATCTATTACTTGGAGAGCGAAAGAGTAGTGTACGTTGAAAAACGTTATGTAACAATAATTTACAGCTTATGGCTGGAAAAATTGTTATAAGTAAGCGAATTGCATTTGTTGAGTAATGAAACCGTAATAAAGTTAGCGGCCACTCCCGGATTAATGTAATGACATTCCTACAGAGAGTTAATGCCTATCTGTGTACTTAGACATACGATACCACGGGAATGACTCAGCAAATAGTATTTGAACCAGTCACGCCATGTTAAATTCGTTTTAATCTTCATTGCCTAGTGGTACTTCATTTGAAGCGAGTTTTCGAACATCTTCCAAGAGCCCTTCTGCTCCTGGCCCTCGAGAGACGGTTTGTACGTCCCTGTGTACTTTGTCCTTGCCAAAAATCTAAGCTCTACGCTCTGACAGACGCATCGCTGCTACAATGTTTTTGAAACGGCCGTTTCCGGTCCGACGGTCCCGCATAGAGAGCACACTGTGCTGAAACCGGTCCGACCACGGGGGAAAATCTCAAGAGCGGGCCTTCTTTTTTGTTACGAGCTGCCGAGGTCCGCTCGTGTGACCGTGCGCTATGAGATCGAGGCAATTGAACTGTGTGATCTCGACCGAGCACAGGCGAACTAATCGGCCGGACAATTGATCGTTTGTTCTTTCGAGGTGCAATGTTTCTTAACAATGCGACACGTCATTGCACCGCGCTTTCCCCCGAGAGAGCTTTATCGCGTCTGAAAGTTTCCCCGTGTCAAAAGCAGTATTGCATTGCGCGGTAAAAATAAACATTTTGTTTCGAGTCGCACAGCGTGATACACTCGTATGTCAAACACCGCAAATATGTCGATGTAACAGAAGTTTCTACAATTTTTGACATTATTTGGCATATTATTAATATTTTCCTATCGCTTGATCGACTTTGAAGAATTTGAGTTCTCACGGCTCGAGTTCTTAGACTAAAATTCTAGGAACTTTGGAATCATGAATCTCAAAATTTTATCTCTTTGCTATGTTTTTTTTTAAATAATTTGCTGATTTTTGGATGTTTAGTAATTCAGATCCCAAATTAAATTCTTTCAGTAAAATTGGCTACAGCGAAAAGTGATACATAATTCGGGTTGTCCATTCCAGTTATTCACAAAAATATCTATAATTTAATGCAATATATGAAAGAGTAAGAACAAGATCGGCTCCGTATTTTTAGGCATTTGATTTTGGTCATAAAGTAGTTACCAAGCGAAAGGTCTTGTCAAAATAATCGCAGATGTGCCAGTCTCAGAGTGTACCATTTAACGTTCCAGGGATATCGGGCTCCAAAAATTACAAAACCAATAGATGGTGACAAACAGACATTTTTCTGTTACTGACATGCTCAGAATGGTATTGAATCGACTAGTAAGATTAATCTTAACAGTCGCCAGCAGTAATTAACAAATTCAGTGATTTTTACTGACCGTATCTGGCAATTAAAATTCTTATTGCGAAAAATATTACCCCAGCCAGGATTCGAACCTAGGACCTCCCTATCCGTGACGGGCGTCTTTTTTGTTCTCGAAAACAGCAAATCCAAAAGACGCCCGTCACGGATAGGGAGGTCCCAGGTTCGAATCCTGGCTGGGGTAATATTTTTCGCAATAAGAATTTTAATTGCCAGATACGGTCAGTAAAAATCACTGAATTTGGTATTGAATCGCTTTACCAAAATGATCTACAACTAGGTACTAAAGGCTCTTGGCCAAGTGGACACTCTGTTTGATGGACCCGAGTTGGAGTCGACTAATAGGTTTCCTAATGGTCGATGTTACTGACATCGTCCTGCATTTTCTATGAGTATATTCTATTAAGTTTTAAGTGGATAAGTGACTATTATTATCTAGGGCTTTTTGATTTTCTACAATCTATAACCAATAGGTTCGGTCAAAAGTATTCATAACGCCATTTTTCGGCACTGGAACCTTTGGAACCCGATATTTCTGGAACGTTAGATAGGTCCACTGAGTTACTAGTCAAATAGGTACATCTGAGACTGACATATCTGTAATCAGCTTGACGAGACCTTTTGTTTGGTACCTACTTTGTGGCTAAGATCGATTGCAAAAAAACTTGGGCTATTTGCCTATGGACGCTTGTTCTCACTCTCTTCGCAAAATATCGTAGTCTTAAATGAATATTTTTAAGATTTTGTTTTTTGCTTTCTATGAATCAATTTCAGTTATCTTTGCCGGGCATTTTCATTTTTGCGCGCGTTTTGTCTTGTACACTCACGTTTTCCCTCATTCAGCTTTTCACGTATTCGGTCATCCGTTCTTTTGCTCGATCATTTGTATCGGATTCTTATTACCTAATCACAATTTAATGATTCGTGTGATTTGCGTAAAGCAGAATCGAGAACAGCAAATCCAAAATTAGCATTAAATTAAATTCCACTTATCGTTGGATCTACGATTATTTCATTTTCGAACAATTGCATAATCTGTTCGTTATTTTTTAATTATGTCGACACGTGTCGACTGTAAAACTGTCAGATCAAGCTGCTGCGCTGTTTCATCAAACAACCAATCACGATATGCGATGCCCACGCCTTAAATACCCTCAACTGATGCAACTTTATATGTCAGAGTATGCCTTCCTTGATCCAGAAATATTCAACTTCTTAAATGACGACATGACATCGAGTAATATACAAATTGGTGGCTACGAGACAATCGCGATATTTTCGATGACCATAAGGCAATAAAATAATTTAATAAAATTTCTTTTTCCAACGAAAATACCCATCACATTTTTCTAAACTAAAACGAATCAATTTAAACTGAAAATAGAAATTCCACTGATTGATTAATTCATCGACTTTGACTTTCGGGTTTTCGCAGCTGTTGGCATCGTCAGTTGGTCGATTGAACTTAACTTCGGACGTGAGTATTCGGAGGTAACGAAATAAGTACACAGTTCGAAAATTTTCCACCCAGACTTTAAATCTGTCGCCTAAACGCGTGGCGGTATTTGTCGGAACTATATATCGTTAGAAAGATGGGAATGTCTTCTATACGTCAAGTACACGGGCTGTGTATATAACGAAAAATAAAATGATTGTAAAATGTGTGGCGGTTTTCTCTGGGATTTGG